AAAAAAAAAAAAAAAAAAAAAACCCTCCCCTTTTACCTCCTTCCCACCATTTTTCAAGACTTCCGTCTAAGGGCTTTGTAGGCCATTTTGCCCCTTTACAAACCTTCATTATTTACAGAATTACACTTCTGATATTGTGTAAATGTAGGAACGAATAGCGTTTGAGGCAAACCCAGAAACTACCATAAGATAAAGTTTGATAATGCATCAGGATTGGAGATTAAAGGTTTAACAACATTCATGTCACAATTTCATATAGGTTGGACTAATGGGAAATAAAAAGAAGCATGAGTCTAATGGGAAGCATGTTCCGGACAAAGTGATAAGTACAAACTTCACATGCCATATGAAGCCTTTTAGAGGGTAGCTAAGGAGTGGTCTGATAATTAATTCCATATACACTATTAAGATTATCAATTTTATTTATTTATTTTTTATTATTTGCTTTCCGAAAAGTAGAAAATTGCATCTTACGCTTATTTATCGATCGGAAAAGGCAATCCAATCACTATGTTAATGTTCTGAATTATTTCTCCGATATATTTATAGTATTTCGTCCCTGTTAATTCCTGATTATATTGCTCCCATTTATAATTGTAACAGGAGCATTACAAGGACCTACAGTCCAAACCATTCTTCCCCAAGCTGATTGACTACATTACCTCTGGCCCTGTTGTCTGTATGGTAGATTTCTTGCTATTTAATCCATTTCCATCGTTCACTAATTGAAACCAATGAGTTATATTCACACTGTATGTTATGTTTGGTAATCTTCTGAGCTTCCTAATATCTTGGATTCTATTCTATCTCTGGCAAGGCCTGGGAGGGTATTGGTGTTGTAGCATCTGCCCGTAAGCTAATAGGAGCAACTAATCCTCTTAATGCGGAGCCCGGCACAATCAGAGGAGACCTTGCTGTTCAAACTGGAAGGTTGGGGCAACAGATATTTGTGTTTTGCTTATTTGCTATTGTTCAATAACTATGCAGTCATTGTACTTGAAGTTTTCAACATTGCCAACTACTTACTAGATTTCTATGACAATCTGTTTGCAGAAATGTGGTGCATGGAAGTGATAGCCCTGACAATGGCAAGCGTGAAATAGGTAAAGTTCTAGATAAATCAACGTGAATGGCTTTTAGAATAACTTAATTGGTTTCTATGATAGAGTCTTTACAATTCTAAAAGGAGTGGCTTCAGTTTTGATGTTTTTGAGATGACGTAAAATATAGAATATATTGTGGATTTGCCAGATACCGACCTCCTAATTAGCCCTAGAAATTTTTTCTGTGTACATATATGTTTAACTATGTTTCCATGGTATCTCTCTATTGCACATATTTTATTTAACTAGAAAATGAGCTCATGGTATTGTTCAAAGATGATAAAGTCATACCCCACCTTCACTTTGTGATAATCACCTGCCAGTGTACAGAAATGCCATTGCGTGCTTTTAGCCAGATTGTTTTTCTCTTTAAGAGTGACACTTGTTTTTCTTTTATGCCACCGTCATATAAAAAAAGAGAGATTGATTCTGGTTCACTTTTGTACTTAAAAAGTACTACGAAGTATTAACTTTATAAAAAAAAAAAGTACGACGAAGTATTAAGTATTACAATTTTGCTTTTCATATCAAACAAAACAAAAGTACTATTAAGTGTTACAATGGTTCTCTCCATGCATGTTTGACTTGGCATGTGAATATATGGAGGGAAAAGACATAGTTTTACTGATATCTGATTCTCCAGTGTGTTTCTTAAATCTCTCTCTCTCTCTCTCATCTCTATTTTTTGCTAACGTACTTCTGTTTTCATTTTTTTTTCTTTTGTAACTTTCACTGTTGGTGACAATAAATTTATTAGGGTGAAAATCAAAGGACAGACCGAAACTAAAGTTATCTTGAGGAGATCTATATTATCACTCTTTTTATGAAAATATTCCCATTTCCTTTAATTTCTTATATAGTTTCTAAATATGTCAATTTTTTTTCAAAAATTTGAAAATTCGATGTCCAAATTCGCACCGAAAATTAGTCAATTTAACGTTCGTAATTCTAAAAGGATTCACCTGGGAATGAAGAGAGTATGATTTATGGCCAAATGGGGATCATGGATTGTTTCCATGCAACCCTGAAAATCCAACACTAATGTTTTGTTATCACAAGCAAGCCCAAAATCTTGTTTTCATTAACCTAATTGATTCTTGTGCCGAGGGTCTACCGAAAATAGCCTCTCTACTCCGGAGTAGGGGTAAGGTCTGTGTACACACTACCCTTCCCAGACCCCACTTGTGCTATCTCACTGAGTTGTTATTGTTGTTGTTGTTGTATCCCCATTTCCTTTAATTTATCAAAAGTGCACTTGCCTGTTCATTCTTCATGTAGATGTTTTCTTGACGCTCCTTGTTCATCCACCATCTACCTACTTAAGTAATTAATCTCAAAGAAATTTATCTATAATGACCTTTTGTGCACTTGTCAGCTAAGTATGCTCATTTTGAACTTTTTGTTGGTGTGTGTTGAGAGAGCTTGCATGATGTGTCCTCCAATCGTTGATTGAAACCCTCGAAGTAATCGCCCATGGGTTTCCATTCACAAGAATGGAGTACCTCAATATGCAGTATTTGATCCATTTTCTCCAACTCCAAAGTCCGTCTTTAACATTATGNAGATGTTTTCTTGACGCTCCTTGTTCATCCACCATCTACCTACTTAAGTAGTTAATCTCAAAGATTTTTATCCGTAATGACCTTTTGTGCACTTGTCAGCTAACTATGCTCATTTTGAACTTTTTTTTGGTGTGTGTTGAGAGAGCTTGCATGATGTGTCCTTTAATTTATCAAAAGTGCACTTGCCTGTTCATTCTTCATGTAGATGTTTTCTTGACGCTCCTTGTTCATCCACCATCTACCTACTTAAGTAGTTAATCTCAAAGAAATTTATCCGTAATGACCTTTTGTGCACTTGTCAGCTAAGTATGCTCATTTTGATTNCTCTATTAATACAAAAAAAGCTATGCTAGGATCAGAGAGCTAACAAAGTCCAAAAAATAGTCAGGGGTCATGAAGTTCCAACAAAAAAACTAACTAAACATCTAGCCTTCAGGAAGCATGCTGGAGTTGAGACACCATCAAAACTTTTGTGATTTCTCTCTGTCCAGATACACCAAAAAATAGTTGCTGGGATCATTTTCCATATCCTTCTGATGGCCTTATCAACTTTCCACAAAACCAGCTATCATAGGCTTCCTTGACTGACTGAGGGGTGACCCAGGATAATCCAAAGATGGAATAAAAGAAATTCCATAAGTCAGCTGCAACTGGACAATGAAGGAATAGGTGGTTCATACAGAAACCGCTGTTCTAGATTTTAAAAAAGAAAGAAACATAGAAATGAGTATGCCGTGATTGACTGATTGTCATCTGATCAACTGATGTACGTCTATATTCGTTTCCTTTGTGCAGCACTTTGGTTTAGAGAAGGTGAACTGTGCACATGGATGCCAGTTCAAGAACCTTGGTTGATTGAATAATGTCGCTAGGAGATATGATTCATCAATAGAATTGAAGGTTTCAGTTTCACTAATCTGAAAGAGATGGATGAATTCAGTTTTGTATGAATATTACTCTGCCATTGTAATAAACTTTCTATTTAAAGAGAGAAGTGTGTTTGTAATGCTACAAGAAAAGCAATTTTAACGGTTCATTAGAAGAGCTTTATTAGCTTCTTGTTCCAAGTTCAGCGCAAACTGGACATCGAATTCTAAGACCTCTGTCCTCAAAGTTAACTTTACAGGTTCTGAGGGTCAATTTACTTCGAAAGTTATTAAGGTATTCCATGCCTTTTGGAGTCGATAACTGGATCACAAGTTCACTAATCTCTTCTTTTAAAGTAACCATTCTTTTTAACCTATTTTTCAATGATGAATAATTTATTGTGATTTGACTAATTTACCTTTATAAATGGAGTTTTCTCTTTTGGTCTAAACAGAAAATACTAGAGCTTGTACAATACAACTAAAAAATTGCAAATCGCCAATGAAGAGGACTTCTTTCATGTAAGAAAATTTACTAGATAATCAACTAAAAAGATATATTTCGTCCAGACTCCAGTGTACAAAAAATACTAGGAAGAAATTTTTTAAATTGTTCGGCTTAAAGCATCTGCTGTTGAATCATTATATTGATTCTCCTTTGCCTTTGCGTATCCATATGCACACAAGGATATGCGAAGTAAAAGGAGAAGCAATATGCTGATTCAACAAAGATGTAACATGCCAAAAGTTGCTCGAAATTTGTCAGTGTTTGATCATGGAATACACACCTGTTTGCACATAAGATACCCAAGAAAGACATGAACTTCCTCTTTTCTCTCCTACCATCTCTTTCTCTTGAAAAGAAGGTTATGCAAATTATGTCAGCAAGTAAGGACATAGTATTAGACAAAGTGTTTTTTGGCGCCCCCTTAGAAACATGTCACTGGTCTGTGTACAGGAATGGCAGAGCATATTGGAATAGTCTGTCACAATTCTATCAAATGAATTACACAAATATTACTCCACCATCACCCACTACTCAAATTGGGAGGAGAAAGCTTACTAAATACAAAATAAGTAAGCTGAATACAATCAAAACTATAGAAGATAAACCTAAGATGTTCTTTTGCAAAGTTGAAGGCAGCTGACTTCATACCCATGAATAAAATTTGCAATCCACTCTCCTTTCCTCGTGAGAGCTGCTTCTAAGTAACTGGCGGCTGACTTCATACCCAATCTGGCAGTTAAGACAGCACTGGATTTTCGACCAGGTGTATAATTGAATTCAACAATATCTTTGACATACAAGAATGAAAGGGAACTCTTCCCAAGAATATGTTATTGTTTCTCATCTCCCGATTGTGTAGCTTGCTTCTCATTCTCACTGCTCTGTATGCTGCTTTGCATTTCAAGGAGCTTCTGTTGTTCCTCATCAGCTGCTTGTGGATTTACATCTTTCACAGCCTTAGGCTTGTTGCTTGTGGATTGCTGGTACATAACACCGCCAAGCATGCAGATCAAGAGTCCCACTGTCCCAACAAGAGTCGAATGTTTGTCCCAGATGACTAGATTTATCACCACTGTCAATAGTTTGTTCACTATGCCGAGAACAGTAAAGCCTGTAGCAGATATTGCTCTACGACAAGAAAATCCAAAGAAAGAGATTGCTAGACCAAACAAACACGACAGGGCTACGGGTAACACCACTTGAAAACTGTACCAATCTGACTCATCCTGAATTTCATGCTTTATCTTCTTCAGTTCGCCCATTATAAGTAGCTCAATAGGAAAAAGCATCAAAGCCTCAAGATTGTTGTATAGCACGAGACCCCACGTGTTTAAGCCAATTGTCATAACAACATGCTTGATATAAACAAAATCAATGGACATGCTCACTAAGTAAGCCAATGCCCAGCTATAAGCCGTAAGTGTGAACTGGTAATCAGTAGTGACATAGAGCACACTACCAGCAAAGATTGTACCTAGTGAAGCCCACGTTTTAATTGCTGGCCATGGCTGATGCAAGTAGAGGGTCTCTCCTATTGCAACAAAGATGGGGACAGCTGATCTGAAGACAATAAAAGTATCAACATTGGCATGGAGGAGAAGCTCACTATTTGTAAAAAGAGATAGGTAGAATATAATTGCAGCCGGCAGGAACCGCCACATTGTTACAAGATCAAGCTTATCATGTTGTATGACCTTGAGCCCCCCGCATATGAGGACTCCAGCTGCACTTGTGAAATACTGCAATGCAGTTAGTGCTCCTGGGTAAGGAAATTTCATGACAGCCCACTTGTTAATGATGGAGAGTAGTGATGCTGATAGACAGTATCCAGCAGCTACTCCATAAACTGATGCTTGCTGAAGTAAGGCATCGTACCAAGTCGATTGGAGACTGGGGGTTGGTGAAGAAGCATCTGAAGACTTCCTGGCATCTCCATCTTCGGGATTTTCCACATCATTTGACATCTATATCTGAAATAACAAAAGTACATGTTTCTTAGTATAATGTCATTTACTTCTTCTTCTTTCTTTTGTTTGATAAACTAGTGTATTGTCTATTACTATGAGCAAGTCTGCAGAACCTAAGTTCGCTTCTTACTAAAGCAAAAGATATTTACCAGACCAGAGCATTCACCAACAATCATTTTGGTCACCTGCATCAATCATTTTGAACTGGTCGGGACCGACTGTACAACTCCTCTTTATTCATTCTGCTCATAAGGTACATCTAATTATACAATTAACTAATGTCTTTAAGGCAAATTAGGAGTTCTTTAAAACTATAGGTTCTTTGACACTTATCCCTACACGGACATACGGTTATCTTAACCAAAATAAAGAAGCTCCTCACAGACATGGATGGTATCATCATATGGAACCTTTATTCCATTGTCTTCTATACCACGTCCGTATTGATTCCGAGAAACTGTAGTAGGTCTTTTGAGACAATTTTGGACATGTGTTTTTTAATCTACCTCTTTCCCTATCACCTTCAATCATCATACTGTCACACAATCATAAAAAGTAATTGCTAACTTATGCTAGCTTCTATTTAAGTTTTTAGTCCATTATTCTTCTTTTCTTTAACCATAAGAGGACAATATAAGATTATTTCTTCTCCATTTCTTAATCCCTTAATAGAAACTTCCCTGTTTTTGGACCTCATTTAGGAGGGGGTTTTGGGGGAGGGGGGGGGATTAAGTTTCTTTCCATGTACTATAAAGTGGAAAAAACTATCTGTTAACTGAAATATCAAACAGCATTCACTCTGTCCTGATAACTTTCAAGGTATGAATTTCTCTAATGTGTAAATATGTAAATTGGTTAGGCGCAAAATCAAACGATCTACAACTTTCGCTCTCAGTCCACTGCTGCTTCAGTATGCACTACTCTTCATTTCTAATCTGACTAGACAATACTTAACATTGACAGAAAATCAGATATACTCAGATGGAATTGGTGGCATGCTTCCATATTAACTTATCAAGGTAGAAAATAAAGAAAGGCGTTCTCGCCAACCCCTATTAATTACCATAATAGGAAATTGGAAATTGTATTTTGTCAGCACGATTCTTTGACATTCTTTACATTTTAAACAAAATTGAATATAAAGAGGGTCCACATTTGCTGTGACTGGTTCTGCTTTAGATATGTCGGCAACATTACGTACTGCATCCAACATACTAGACAAAACTAGTAGTAGTACCAGATTTGCATAAAAGTACTGCTCACTCCAACTAGCTAAATCTCACTAGAACCAGATACAAAGCTAAGATAAAACATCAATTTACAATTTCAAAAATGACCGTGAAGCAGCAGAACTTACAACTTACTACTTACTAGCATAGTTAGAAGAAAACAGTAAAACAAATAAGCAGATAACATAAATACAAATACACATGTTGGAATTAAAGTACAGATTTGGTTAAGACCCACCAAGTAAGATTGGAAGGGATAATATTAAGATGGATAATGAAATAGTAAAAAATATGGCAAGGGAGGCCAAATGATAGTGGATTTGGATTTTGGACAGGTGCATTGACAAGAATAAGTGACGTGACAGTGTAAGAGTATAGTATGGCTAGATGATTAGGGTTTGAGGAGGAAGAGAGGGACTCACCGTTGAAGATCGAGAAATTGGAGGAAGACGGTGGCTGCTAATGATCCCGGCGGAGGCGTCGGTGGCTCGTATACACCGGAGAGTGAGAAAAGAGAGCGCAATTGACGAATGGGGTAATTAACGCAAAATGAAAGTAAGCCCCTTTGCACTCTTTGCAAGTGTCCCAATTACGCAATGCGTTAATAGTCCACTAGTGCGATAATAAGTCGCAATTACTAAATGCGCAAATTAAATTCGATTTTTAAGTCCCAAATAGTAAATGCTATTTTAAGTCGCTAAATCCAATTTATTTCGGAATAAGTGGCAATTACCCATCGCAGTTACCAAGGCAATATATAAGTGGCAATGTGGAATGCGTTTTAATTATAAGTCGTAAATGCAATTTATATGTGCGTTTCACATATTTATAAAGCCACGTTTCTCATATGTGATTTGTAAGTCACTAGTTTTTTTCAATTCCCGTTTGAGACTTCCTTATTAGTTACATATAAATGTTTTTACTTACAGAAAACTACTTATGACACAAATAAAAAGTTTCTCCCCTTATATAATCAATAATTGTCAAATTTCTTTGATAAATATTGAAATTCATTGATGCATATGTAGACTCAATGATACTTTATTAGTTTAACTTTTTTTATCCTTAGTAAATATGTGATTTGCTACATTGTAAATAACTCACTGTTCTATACACAAGAAACTTCTTCTTTTTTTTAAAAGTATTTCTTTATTAGAGAGTTATAAATGAAGAGAAAAAAAATTATATGTGACAAATAAGGATTAAACAGGAATCGAGAAAGGGAAAAAACTTAGGTGTGTCTATTAGTAAACATGAATCGCATCCGATAAATACTAACTTGTAATCATATTGGACGTACAACTTATGGCAAGTATAATAACGGCTTTTGTCGATTCTTTCTGTAATGTTTTATCCTTAAATTGCATTCTACAAAATGCATTTTTGCATATGCCAATAATGTGTATTTTGAGTAGAAATTAATTGCCCCAAGAAAGACGTCATTGTTAAGCTAATTTGAAGGTCGAATTTGCAGAAAAAAATGAAGATTAAGTGCAACAGATGAGAGAGAACACATCGAGAAATATTTCTGTATTAGAGAGAAAGTTAACCATCCAAAGGTTTGGATAGATTCCTATGCTTATATACAGAATTGGGCCTAATTAAATTGGGCCTAACTACAACACTATCAATAATTACACTTTGGGTCTCAGCTACATAACCAATACAAACTAATACAAAAATATGTTATACCCAGGTCTTGTTATCCAACACCCCCCCACAAGTTGGAGGGGGGAAGCACCTTCAACTTGGAGAGAAAACCATGGTGAGCTATCCCAGTCAGAGGCTTAGTTAAAATGTCGGTCAGTTGGTTGGAGCTGCTAACTGGCTGTAAATCAATTAAGCCTTCAGATAACTTTCCTCGAACAAAGTGGCAATCAACTTCGATGTGTTTTGTGCGTTCGTGGAAGACAGGATTACGAGCAATGTGTAAAGCAGAATGATTATCACGGAAAACAGACGCAGGGGCCACCATTTCAACACCCAGATCAGCTAATAAGCGAGTCAACCAAGTCAGTTCTGCCACCAGTTTACTTAGAGCACGATACTCAGCTTCAGCATTACTTAGGGAGACCACTGGTTGCTTTTTGCACTTCCAAGATATAGGACTACCACCAAGAAAAACAAAGAAACCCTGTAACAGACCTGCGGGACGGGGCAGGCAGCCCAGTCACTATCACAGTACCCTTGCAAGGTAAAATCCGAAGAATTGTTGAGAAGAATACCATAATCAACTGTACCCTTAAGATAACGCAAGAGATGTAATGATGCAGCTAAATGAGGAACCCGAGGAGCCTGAAGGAACTGACTGAGATGTTGTACATCAAAGCTCAAGTCAGGTCTAGTATGGGTAAGAAAATTAAACTTACCAACAAGGCTTCTATACTTCTCTGGATTAGAAAGCAACGCCCCATCATCGGCACATCAATGCAATTATGTTCAGATAAGAGATCCATTATAAATTTCCTTTGATTAAGTAAAGCCCAGAAGGAGTGGAAATAACCTCAATACCCAGTAAGTAGTTTGACGAGGCCAATGCATATAAGATTTTGCTACTCGTACTTTGTCAAATTCTAGTATAGTTTATGATATCGTCCCACAGAGATTGGAGAATCTAGCTACAAACTTATAATATTCTTACTACTATATGAGAGAATTAGATTGATGAAGTTTTGTTTGTTGAAAATTTGAATTGCTTAAGTTGAAACAAAATAACTTTCGGAAGATTTATATTTAAAAAGAGTTGGGAATCATTGAATTCACTCGATAGCGTGATAATAATAAAATCTTAGCTTCTACGTGTATTTCTCTTAAGAATAACTGTTTATTGCTAATACAATTATATTTTTCTCACTAAGAAATAATTAATTAATAACGCTCCGCGAGGTTATGTAAATCAATTAATATATGACTCGTGACGATTAAACTGAAATAATTTTCTTGCCTGAATTGTGCTAACAGATAGCAAAAACCTCTTGCGATTAATTTTTACTAAAAATCAATAATCTTGCCAACTACAACTCCTCCGTGAGAATTAGAATGGAAGTAAGCAAGATTACAGACTTGGAATGATAGCTTAAAAAGAATTACTCTCACTCTATTATTTTACCCAATAGTTATCGTATATTAATTTTGCTTCGTGAGAATTACAAAATTGACATACAACTAACTTTGGAGAATAAATAGATAGAAGTGATAATAATTAATTAAAACTAATATTCCAGCACAATATAGAAATATAATTA